CAGCTTCACAGTAACTTTCCATTACAGCAGTGTGTGTTTGTGTGTGATGGTTGAGGTTGAAAATGAAAACTACAGACAAGAGTTTTGGCAAACGATTTCTGTTCGACATAAACCGGGAATCGACCACAGCTGAGAGAGATATCAGTAGCAGGACAGCTATCAACAGTCGAAATGCATCTCGAGAGCCTCTTCAAAACTCTGGTCCTCGTCGGCGCTGGACGTGAGGAAAGAGGCCATAGGGGAGCCTGCGGACAGACTGAGAACTCCTGCAGTGTTCGTGCCAGCGTTTCTGACAGAAATACTGGTGAGGTTGATTCCGAGAGTGAGTCTGGTTTGCTCCAGGGCTTTTTCGGGCACGGCGAAAGCCTCCAGCTTCTTCTCCCCGTTGGCCATGTATGAGTTCTGGCAGCCCCTGCAGATGCAGTCCAAACAGGCCTTACGGTTGGAGTAGCAGGGGCATCTTTGACCTCTGCAGGTAAGGACACTTGGATTCTGAGTGGCTCGTCCACACTTGCATCCTTTTTTCTCTTGCGTCTTTTTGTATACGACTTTAGGGGGCTGTCCTGGTTGTCCTGCTAAAACGCTAGCTGACAGCAGCCTGTCCCTCACCTTGGCCTTTGCCTTCGGGACGGCCACTTTAGACTTCACCTGAACTTTCTTATTACCTAGGTCTGTGTTTATCTGGATATTTTTAGTTGAATCCAGCACAGCCTTATTAACCTTCAAAACACCTCCGTTAGTGAGCACGGCAGCAGGTGGCGAGGGCGCTTTTGGTTCAAATGCGGTTTTCGGCGGAGCTGTGGCTGCTACCGATGGCCCCTGGATGAGGCTGGTGATGGGCAGAGGTTGGAGCGTCTCACTGTCGCTTTCAGAGCGAGAGCGCTTTCGGCTCAGATGCACTTTTCTATGGGCTGTGGCGAGGCACGTCAGGCCCGTCTGAGGTTGCGGTGGGTGTCCTGGCGCAAGGGCGCCGCTGGTTTGGGACTGTAATGAGTTCTGACACGGCTCGGGTGTTGATTTAGTCTGTCCCCACGACACCTCCTTGCTCGTAATGTCAGGTTTAAGGTCCTCCTGGACGCTTGTGCTCTCCGCACTGAGTTGCACCAATTCGGCGCTTGTCTCTTGACTAACTTTGCACTTTACGTTAACAGTGACAGTACCCATGTGTAGTGCCGAGTCAGATTTCAGAGGTCCGTCAGCCCTGACAGGCTCAAGGGTCTCTAGTTCAGCTGGGATCTGCTCAGAGGGTTTATCGGAGTCAGTCAGGATCACATCATTAGAGTTTTGTGAGGAGTCAGTCTCTGTTTTGAGATGAAGAACATCCAAAGTGTCTTTGACAGGACTGAGGTCTTCTTGTTCCTGACTCACCCCCAACACCTCCTCCAGCATCTTCTTGACCTCAGGGTAACCCTTGACCCCCGAGGCACTCTGCTCTGCTGTGACGCACACTGAGACACACTCGCAGAGATTCCTGTAGCAGTCGATCAGAATCTGGAGCTGTTTATTCTCCTCAAACTGCTCATAGTCTTTACACCAGCTGCAGGATGGCTTCAATAACATTTTCTTGCCTTTACAACCCTTGCAAACATAGTGCTGGCAGGAGGAATTTTTTGGAGCAACTGGATCCTGAAGCAAATTCCCTAGATAGAAAGCAAACTACAGATGAATTTAAAGCAATTAAGCATAGCAAAGTAACATCTTACTATATTTTGTTCTATAGAGTGCAACGGTCAAGTTCTGGAAGTAAAAAAAAATCCTATTAATTTTCTCCATAGAGTAAACTGATTTTTAACAATAACTTATAAGCCATTGAAGACAGACCTACTAGGTGCTACTATCCCTATTCTCTCAAACTTAAATATTCAATATTATATTTCTCCATCGTTTTTAATCATTATATCAACTCTTAATGGGATTGAAGTACGATTTTCAAATACTTTTTTCTTCAAACCAAATGCTGTGATTCACCTCGCAGCTGGTTTGTTTGGTTCATAGCTTATAACTCGAACAAAGTATGGAAAGCCGTTGTAACATTTAATCTATAAGCCGTACTAGTATCTATTAAGTTCAGGATATCTCTGGTCTAAAAAGTTACTAGTAACTAAAAAATAAGTACTAGTATGTAATCAATAAGTACTAGTATGTAATCAATAAGTACTAGTATGTAATCAATAAGTACTAGTATGTAATCAATAAGTACTAGTATGTAATCAATAAGTACTAGTATGTAATCAATAAGTACTAGTATGTAATCAATAAGTACTAGTATGTAATCAATAAGTACTAGTATGTAATCAATAAGTACTAGTATGTAATCAATAAGTACTAGTATGTAATCAATAAGTACTAGTATGTAATCAATAAGTACTAGTATGTAATCAATAAGTACTAGTATGTAATCAATAAGTACTAGTATGTAATCAATAAGTACTAGTATGTAATCAATAAGTACTAGTATGTAATCAATAAGTACTAGTATGTAATCAATAAGTACTAGTATGTAATCAATAAGTACTAGTATGTAATCAATAAGTACTAGTATGTAATCAATAAGTACTAGTATGTAATCAATAAGTACTAGTATGTAATCAATAAGTACTAGTATGTAATCAATAAGTACTAGTATGTAATCAATAAGTACTAGTATGTAATCAATAAGTACTAGTATGTAATCAATAAGTACTAGTATGTAATCAATAAGTACTAGTATGTAATCAATAAGTACTAGTATGTAATCAATAAGTACTAGTATGTAATCAATAAGTACTAGTATGTAATCAATAAGTACTAGTATGTAATCAATAAGTACTAGTATGTAATCAATAAGTACTAGTATGTAATCAATAAGTACTAGTATGTAATCAATAAGTACTAGTATGTAATCAATAAGTACTAGTATGTAATCAATAAGTACTAGTATGTAATCAATAAGTACTAGTATGTAATCAATAAGTACTAGTATGTAATCAATAAGTACTAGTATGTAATCAATAAGTACTAGTATGTAATCAATAAGTACTAGTATGTAATCAATAAGTACTAGTATGTAATCAATAAGTACTAGTATGTAATCAATAAGTACTAGTATGTAATCAATAAGTACTAGTATGTAATCAATAAGTACTAGTATGTAATCAATAAGTACTAGTATGTAATCAATAAGTACTAGTATGTAATCAATAAGTACTAGTATGTAATCAATAAGTACTAGTATGTAATCAATAAGTACTAGTATGTAATCAATAAGTACTAGTATGTAATCAATAAGTACTAGTATGTAATCAATAAGTACTAGTATGTAATCAATAAGTACTAGTATGTAATCAATAAGTACTAGTATGTAATCAATAAGTACTAGTATGTAATCAATAAGTACTAGTATGTAATCAATAAGTACTAGTATGTAATCAATAAGTACTAGTATGTAATCAATAAGTACTAGTATGTAATCAATAAGTACTAGTATGTAATCAATAAGTACTAGTATGTAATCAATAAGTACTAGTATGTAATCAATAAGTACTAGTATGTAATCAATAAGTACTAGTATGTAATCAATAAGTACTAGTATGTAATCAATAAGTACTAGTATGTAATCAATAAGTACTAGTATGTAATCAATAAGTACTAGTATGTAATCAATAAGTACTAGTATGTAATCAATAAGTACTAGTATGTAATCAATAAGTACTAGTATGTAATCAATAAGTACTAGTATGTAATCAATAAGTACTAGTATGTAATCAATAAGTACTAGTATGTAATCAATAAGTACTAGTATGTAATCAATAAGTACTAGTATGTAATCAATAAGTACTAGTATGTAATCAATAAGTACTAGTATGTAATCAATAAGTACTAGTATGTAATCAATAAGTACTAGTATGTAATCAATAAGTACTAGTATGTAATCAATAAGTACTAGTATGTAATCAATAAGTACTAGTATGTAATCAATAAGTACTAGTATGTAATCAATAAGTACTAGTATGTAATCAATAAGTACTAGTATGTAATCAATAAGTACTAGTATGTAATCAATAAGTACTAGTATGTAATCAATAAGTACTAGTATGTAATCAATAAGTACTAGTATGTAATCAATAAGTACTAGTATGTAATCAATAAGTACTAGTATGTAATCAATAAGTACTAGTATGTAATCAATAAGTACTAGTATGTAATCAATAAGTACTAGTATGTAATCAATAAGTACTAGTATGTAATCAATAAGTACTAGTATGTAATCAATAAGTACTAGTATGTAATCAATAAGTACTAGTATGTAATCAATAAGTACTAGTATGTAATCAATAAGTACTAGTATGTAATCAATAAGTACTAGTATGTAATCAATAAGTACTAGTATGTAATCAATAAGTACTAGTATGTAATCAATAAGTACTAGTATGTAATCAATAAGTACTAGTATGTAATCAATAAGTACTAGTATGTAATCAATAAGTACTAGTATGTAATCAATAAGTACTAGTATGTAATCAATAAGTACTAGTATGTAATCAATAAGTACTAGTATGTAATCAATAAGTACTAGTATGTAATCAATAAGTACTAGTATGTAATCAATAAGTACTAGTATGTAATCAATAAGTACTAGTATGTAATCAATAAGTACTAGTATGTAATCAATAAGTACTAGTATGTAATCAATAAGTACTAGTATGTAATCAATAAGTACTAGTATGTAATCAATAAGTACTAGTATGTAATCAATAAGTACTAGTATGTAATCAATAAGTACTAGTATGTAATCAATAAGTACTAGTATGTAATCAATAAGTACTAGTATGTAATCAATAAGTACTAGTATGTAATCAATAAGTACTAGTATGTAATCAATAAGTACTAGTATGTAATCAATAAGTACTAGTATGTAATCAATAAGTACTAGTATGTAATCAATAAGTACTAGTATGTAATCAATAAGTACTAGTATGTAATCAATAAGTACTAGTATGTAATCAATAAGTACTAGTATGTAATCAATAAGTACTAGTATGTAATCAATAAGTACTAGTATGTAATCAATAAGTACTAGTATGTAATCAATAAGTACTAGTATGTAATCAATAAGTACTAGTATGTAATCAATAAGTACTAGTATGTAATCAATAAGTACTAGTATGTAATCAATAAGTACTAGTATGTAATCAATAAGTACTAGTATGTAATCAATAAGTACTAGTATGTAATCAATAAGTACTAGTATGTAATCAATAAGTACTAGTATGTAATCAATAAGTACTAGTATGTAATCAATAAGTACTAGTATGTAATCAATAAGTACTAGTATGTAATCAATAAGTACTAGTATGTAATCAATAAGTACTAGTATGTAATCAATAAGTACTAGTATGTAATCAATAAGTACTAGTATGTAATCAATAAGTACTAGTATGTAATCAATAAGTACTAGTATCTATTAAGTTCAGGATATCTCTGGTCTAAAAAGTTACTAGTAACTAAAAAATAAGTACTAATTCTATCTTTTCTTAACAAGAAGAGTATAATTAAATACTAGTCACTATTGGAATAAGTACTAGTATCTAATGATTAAGTACTAGTATCTAATGAATAACTACTAGTAACTTTACAAAAGACACTAGTACCTAAAGAATAAACACTAGTACCTAAAGAATAAGCACTAGTAGCTAAAGAATAAGCACTAGTACCTAATGAATAAGTACTAGTACTTAATGGAAAAGATACTAGCATCTAAAAAATAGATACTAGTACCATGAAAATAGATACTAGTACGGCTTATAGATTAAATGTTAAAACGGCTTGCCATAAACGAAGACTTATTCAAATCATTATGGGGAAAATACTTGCAGGACCGAAGCTGGTGAAAAAGTGGGCGGCCACTGTACCAGCAGATTGTACCGGTCCCGAATGCTGATTGGTTGATACAGTGTTGATACAAAGCGAAGATCGTTTTGTTGTTGTTGTGTAGCAACTCAATTTGCTTAATAAAATAACGTTTAAAAGAAAATCTACTAAGTAAGAAAATATTGCGTTTAATGAAAGCAATAAGACATTCGAAGCTGCGCGTGTTGCTTACCAACGCCAATTATATTGCGAAAACATAGCACGGCCTCTCGTACATAAAGGCACTTACCACACACCAAGCAGGATAGGGAGTCTCTAAAGAAAGGCAAGACATTAAACAGCCCTCTGTATGTGTCCGGGTCCATCGGGTCGCACTGCAGAAGAGAGCGGCACGCCGACACGTACATCGCGGTGGCGTTTACCGGGTTCATCTCAGCGAGTTCAGTCGACAGCAGGAGAGAAGCGGGCTGATCGGCTACTGAAAGCGAGTCTTGATCGGACTCCCAATGCACGATAACTGTGAGAACACAATCAACCAGGCTTGAGCCAACGCCTCACACAAAGAGTGTAATTTGACATGACTCGCAAGCAGATGAGCGGCTCTTGTTAACATGTCAAAGTTTTGCTCAATATTTCGAAGATCCTCCAGAGATGGTCAGTACGGAGAAAATAAACTGTATAGCACAGACTAAAGTCTGCTTTCCATGCGTGTCAGATCCCAAATGCCTCAATAGAAAGAGCGCTGAACTTTTGTGATAAAGCACACAGACACGAAGGACTGGGCGATAAACTGCATTTTAGTGAGAGGCACAGCAGGCCTCGAGCTCTGCGTATAATCGGTCCACAAATACGAAATGGAAAAACAGACTCAGTTGCGCAAAAAGTATAATCCTAGAAATAGTCCAACACAGCGGTTGTTTATGAGGCTTAACTGAACAGATCACAATTGGCCTGGTTGCTAGTTCGCTAGCTAGCTAATATTGCAGACTTTTCATCGTGTTGTTGAATAAGAGCGCTTTTCTCTCCTTAACGAGTGCGACAACCTTCCGTTTGAGTGATATGTTTATATTATATATGTAACTGAGCTCGCTACGCTACAAAATATTTACATACATTAGCCTGTGCTAAGAGCCAGTTTCGTTCCTCTGTTAACTTTTGCATCCTGAGAGGAACAATACCAAACAAGAGTAAAAGAGCGCCTGGAATTAAACGCAGCCTCCAGTGATTACTGCCCCCTAGTGTCTGACTGTATCAACCACACGCTTGACAAATCAATGTGAATTCTGTAAAAATGAACCTGAAACATTATCCCACATTTTCTGGAACTGTCACCTTGTTTAAAAAAAAAAACTGGAGGTGATTTTAATCTTTCCCTTTAGAAAAACAATATGCTACTCCACTTTAAACACACTGACAAAGATGTCATTATCTTTTGGACTGATGCACTGCAACACCCGCTGACTGCCATTAACCCTTTAAAGACTTTTAAGTTATAAAACTTTATGCAGTAATGTTTATGAATATGGAAACCCATAATTATAATCTGTATTTTATTTATTTATTTTCTTAGTCATTTCTTGTCCCCTGTTATAATCTTATGTAAATGGTAGCCTATAAATTGACTACTTTCTTAACTTGTCTATTATGTCTAATGTTTCTTCTAACTGTACCTCATAGCAGAAATAAAAAATTCGGTGATGCTGCTTTTAGCCGTTATGCTCCTCGCCTCTGGAACAACCTTCCAGAGAACATAAGATGTGCTGAAAACATTCATAGTTTTAAATCTAAATTAAAAACATATATTTTTAGTCCGGCCTTTCTGTAAAGACTTATAAAACCCAATATGCTACTCCACTTTAAACACACTGACAAAGATGTCATTATTAATTCTTTTTGGGAGTTTTTTTCCTCACAAGTTAAAATGGTCATATAATAAACCTAATTTTGAATTAGTTCTGATAGAGTTACCATGTTATTATAAGATGGTGAAACTATGTAAAAGTAGTAAAGCCAAAATATTTGTTAAAGGGTTAGTTCACCCAAAAATGAAAATTAGCCCATAAATTACTCACCCTCAAGGCATCCTAGGTGTATATGACTTTATTCTTTCAGACAAATCCAGTGGGAGTTATATTAAAAATTGTCCTGGCTATTCCAAGCTCTATCATTGCAGTCAGCTTATAATCTTATGTAAATGGTAGCCTATAAATTGACTACTTTCTTAACTTGTCTATTATGTCTAATGTTTCTTCTAACTGTACCTCATAGCAGAAATAAAAAATTCGGTGATGCTGCTTTTAGCCGTTATGCTCCTCGCCTCTGGAACAACCTTCCAGAGAACATAAGATGTGCTGAAAACATTCATAGTTTTAAATCTAAATTAAAAACATATATTTTTAGTCCGGCCTTTCTGTAAAGACTTATAAAACCTGTATATTTCATGTGTTTTGTTTTGCCTCAATTTTAATGTTCTATTTTATATTTCATATTTCAATCTTTATAAACTTAATTCTTATTCGTGTATTTTAATGGGTCTATTTTATTTTTGCTTTAATTCTGTTCAGTTTAATTTTTATTAATTGCTGTATCACTTTGGTTCCTTCTTGTCTGTAAAGCACTTTGGATTGCATTAACTTGTTTAGAAAAGTGCTATATAAATAAAATTTGCTTGCTTGCTTCAGTAAAAGCAGGAAAGGGAAGAAAAAGGAAGGAAAAAGAAGGAAAGAAATTATAAATGTACATATAGAGGATGGTGTTCATTCCCTTTCACTTTTAAAACGCAGTCACGAATCCAGAATTTTTCAAATGCATTTAGGAATCTAGAGTAATGCTGCATTCATTCCATGTCGTAATTACTGTAAAGGTGCATAACGCCGTAATTACCGTGATTACGAGATACCAACTTGTAAAAAGCGTTCACGTCCTCGTAGAACTGGTAATTGCAACTTGTGAACTGGGAGTTTTCTGAGCGCTACAACTTGTACCACCTGACCACCTCAGATTCATTAGGAGCTATGTTTAGTCCAAGGGTTTGAACAGCTCCAATCATTTTTTTCAAAAACTATTCTCACAACAGCCGAGTAACTGATGGGAACTGTAGTTTATCATGGTTGACATGAGTATGGACTACATCTATCAAGTTCGCCTAACTACACACATCTCTGCGGTGATTGGTTCACTCACTCACGCCCTCTTCGCTAACCGGGAAGTGATTGGCTGTAAAAAGTAGACACTCGTTGGTGATTGGCTGAAGACACCGACATGTTTTTCGACAGAATCCTGTGCCTTCAGTGAAGCAGTGATGGCGACTTACGCGTTAATGCGAAGCAGCCTGGGACTGTTACATGGTCTGAAATGTTCTTTTAAAAGTGTAGGTCAGATTCCGTACGGCGCAGCCGCCGGGGCAATTACCCAGGCGAAAGGTCTACAAAATGCAAGATGCTATTCGGTCAACCATCTGTCTGTGCAGGAGAGAATCGAGAAGAAACGAAAGGCAGCGCTTACAGGAGGAGGACAGCTGAGGATAGCTGCACAGCACAAAAGGGTAAGTTATGAAAACTTACTGTAAAATGAATGCAACGGACAGAAGTGAAAGCGCAACAGTCTGAGAAGAGCTCTGACCTGCTGTGCGCAGGGTAAACTGACAGCACGCGAGAGACTGGAGCTCCTGCTGGACCCTGACTCGTTTGTGGAGTATGACATGTTTGTGGAGCATCGCTGCTCTGACTTTGGCATGGAGGCAGATCATAATAAGGTATGACACCCCAACCTCTCAGGTCAAAGAATTTACATAATGCATCATCAAAAATATTTCCATTTGCATGTCATGAGTTATGACATAATAGCGTTAAATGTCTCTTGAATGAGTGCAGATGCAATGTCGTCTATTGCATTTTCTAGGTCCTTCTGTGAAAAGGCCCTTTTTCAGTTTGACAGAGTTTCAAAGATATATATATATATATATATATATATGTTTAAACATCTTGTTAAGCAAATAAATTAAGTGATTCTTAACCAGGAGACCGGGGCCCACTAGGGGGCAAACTTGCAGGGTGGGTCATAAAATTATTTAAAGGGGTCATATGATGCTTTTTTAAAGATCATTATTTTGTGTATTTGGTGTAACAGAATATGTTGACATGCTTTAATGTTCAAAAAACACATTATTTTTCAAATACTGTACATTATTGTAGGTCCTCTATGCCCCGCCTCTCTCAAACGCTTCGTTTTCTACAAAGTCCCTCCTTCAGACAAGTGCAGTCTGCTCTGATTGGCCAGCTGACCCAGTGCATTGTGATAGTCGCTTTCATGGATCCATGTGCACTCGTTTTGACAACATAGCCATCTGTTTTTAACAAATGTAGATGAGGGACACTAATTGCAGTCATTTTGTAAAATGGAACATGTCTTTTACATGCATCTGTGTCGTCAGTACCCAGGAGACAGTGTAGTGACCGGACAGGGAAGGATCAATGGCAGACTGGTGTATGTTTTCAGCCAGGTATGATACTAGCTTTCGAATATCAGTTTGCAGTAACAAAATATCTTATTTATTACTATCTCATTTCTGCTTTCATGAGTGAAATGCTCTTCTGTTCTCAGGACTTCACAGTGTTTGGAGGCAGTTTATCAGGAGCTCACGCTCAGAAGGTCTGCAAGGTGACGTTGGTTGCTGAGCGTTGTTGGACCTGACAAAAGTCATTTTGTTTAAAACACGGGCATAAAGCTGTCAAACGGTGAGATTTCACACAAAACTTCTGCAACTGAATTGCTAGGTCATGGACCAGGCAATGATGGTGGGAGCTCCAGTAATTGGTCTCAATGACTCTGGTGGAGCCCGCATTCAGGAAGGCGTCGAGTCCCTCGCAGGATATGCTGACATTTTCTTGGTGAGCTGAGCACAGCTGTACATTTGAGATATACTCTACCGAACAAAAGTTTGGGGTAGTTGTTTTTTTTTATGTTTTTGAAAGATGTCTTTCACCAAGACTGCATTTATTTGATCAAAAGTACAGTTACAGTACAAACAATTTTAAATAATTAGACTATATTTTAAAATGCAATTTATTCCTGTGATGGTAAAGCTAAAACAGTAGTGCTGCATATAGAATATATTTTTGTGGAAGATGATTTAATTTCCCCCTTATTTTTTTTCAGGATTCTTTGGTGAATATGAAATTCAAAAGAACAATGTTTATTTGAAAAATTAATCTTTTGTAACTTTACAAAATGTCTTAAAAGTATTCATTTCTTTAAAAAAAAAAAAAGATCTTGCTGACCCCAAACATTTGAATGGTAGTGTATATATATTCCAGGACTAACTGTGGACAATGGTATTTGTTCTTCAGCGAAATGTGATGGCCTCAGGTGTAGTTCCTCAGATCTCTCTCATCATGGGCCCGTGTGCGGGTGGTGCCGTGTACTCGCCTGCTCTCACAGACTTCACTTTCATGGTGAAGGTAAGACAATAAAGGTTAAAGGGGTCCTATTATGCTTTTTCACTTTTTTAATTTTAGTCAGTGTGTAGTGTGTATGTTTGGGCATAAAAAAGATCTAGAAAGTTACAAATCTCAAAGTCCACTCCAAAGGGAGATATTTAGTTTTTTTAAAATCCCTTTTCAAGAACTACAACGAACGGCTCGTTTGGACTACAGCATTTGTTTTCCGGGATTACAAATAATTCCCGCCTACAGAAATTCTAATGGTTGGGGGGTGGGGAGGGGCGAGGTTGTGGTTAGAACGCTTGGTTGAGTGAGTGCATCAGACGAGACGATGAAGAAGAAGTGCTGCTGCAGAGTTAGTGCATCAGAGAAAACTAAGAAGAAGAGCTGCTGTGCTGTAGCGTCAAATTTTCGGCGCCGCCGGTGTGCCTACACTGAATTTAATTTTAAAGATGTGGCGCGACGCAATGCTGCGCTTCTCGTCCGGTGTGCGACCGCCTGAAATGCTGTTTTTTTTCACCTCCGTGCCCAAACGTCTTTGTTTGGGCTTCCGAAAGCGGATGATGTCAGGAAACAGTGGTTGCAATTTATTTTTTAACTCTGTTCCTGAGCATTATAACCCTATAAGAGCATGTGTGCTGCGCATTTTACTGAGGACAGCGTCCACAACACGAGGGAGTACAGTGCCGGATTCGCCAAAAGCTTTTGTTTAAAGATGGAGCAAGGGGCGTGGCAGTACTGAAACACCGTCTAAGCTGTTCGCCAATCACAACGCACTGGGACAGCTAACCAATCACAACACATTTTGTTTTTCGGAAGGCGGACCTTCATCAAAGCCGGAACTAATCGAGCCGTTTGTGCCAGGCTGGGGAGAAAGGTATTTTAATAATGTCAATTATGTGAGAAATAATGCGTTTTTCGAACCACCAAGCATGAGAGCATGTTCTAGTACACCCCCAAAACAAAATCAAGACTTTGTAAAAGAGCATAATAGGACCCCTTTAAGAGTATAAATGCGTATTAAATTCAATGTAAGTTTCTTGATCCCTGATGGCACACGCGTGTTTCATGAAATGGCCTGTGTTTGCAGGACACCTCCTATCTTTTTATCACAGGCCCAGATGTGGTAAAGTCTGTAACAAATGAGGATGTTACCCAGGAGGAGCTGGGTGGAGCGAAAACCCACACCACTGTGTCAGGTAGGTCTATTTATTAAGCCTGTGCTTACATGTGAATGTGTTTTGTGACAATGTTTGGCATTTTGTTTTGTTTCAGGTGTTGCTCATCGGGCCTTTGAGAATGATGTTGATGCCCTTCTGAACTTGCGAGACTTTTTCAACTTTCTCCCACTGAGCAACAAAGATCCAGCTCCGGTCACTGAGTGCCATGATCCTCGGTGAGAAACCGAGTTTTTGCACATTTGTAACTTTTTTTTTTTTTTTTTTTCTCTTTCAGTCAAATTATCTTGACCTTTAATTACCAGTGTCTTCAGTCACATGCAATCTGCTATTGTCATGTCAATTTATTTTCCTCAGTGACCGGCCGGTTCCTGGTTTGGACACTATCGTTCCTTTTGAAAGCACAAAAGCCTATGACATGCTGGACATTGTTCATGGTGTATGTACATCTTTAGTGAACAAATGATTCAGATAGTCAGGTAAAAACTCATCACACAGTTCTTATGATTGTCATCTCACTCTTACAGATAGTAGATGAGAGAGAATTCTTTGAGATTATGCCCAACTACGCCAAAAATATTGTGGTGGGATTTGCCAGGATGAATGGACGGACTGTAGGCATAGTGGGAAACCAGCCTAAAGTGGCATCTGGTTGGTGATTTATATTATATTTTTATATTGTATTATATTATATTATTACTAGGGATGCACCGATGTATCGGCCGCCGATATTTATCGGCCGATTTTTCGTCAATTTACAACCATCGGCATATCGGCTATATAAGGAAAAAGGCCGATATAACAAACCGATGATTTATTAATTAACTGCGTGAAGGCACTGAGCTGTATAATGTCTGTTTCATAATCCTAGCGCTGCTGTCGGCACTTTAATGCTAATCACAAATAAACAAAAGACAAAAGATCGCACACTATTCTTGACTAAATAACTTTTGTAACTTTCATAAGTGTAGCGGACCTCATCTGAATAATGACCAAAACTTTACTGATGTTGTAAGTTTATTGCTTCCTTTTTCACTCCAAAAATATCACCATAAGAGCTAAACAAAACACAGCACGAGAAGTGCACATTAAACTCTCTCTCTCAGTTGCATTATCATCAACATACAGCGAATTACACAAAACACTTATTACAACTAACAGTAAACAAATATATACAGATCTCATGCCTTTTCGGGGGGTGCTTAATAAACTGACAAACTTTAAATCCGAAGAACTGCGTGCTTTTATTACCCATATAGCTCCGTAGACTAGAAAACCCGTCAAAATAAGAGTCCCGCCTTAGTAAAGGAGATCTCATACATATTTAAACTTACAAAAAATATTAAAATGTATACAAAAACAAATTAGAAGATTAATCATAATAAAGTCTGTTACAATAAAGAAGGATTAATATGCATTTAATTTATACAGTGAAGTGTTAATCTACATTTGTTTACTTTATTTCTGTACCTGAAAACTGTTAAACCTACCTAAAAAGCACTGTTTATTTAATATGTATCTTTGTTCTGTTGTATTTATGTAGGCCTGCTGAATGTTAAATGGATCCAATCCATGTTCATTAGAAATTATTTGATGATGCAGAAATAAAACTGCTAGTATAATTTAATGCAGGTGTTGCTGATTTAAAACATGATCAAAATACTATCTATTTTTTGATGCCAAAATTTCAAATAAGAGAGGAAGTGACAAGTATCGGAATCGGCCAATAAGTGATTGTTAAAATCGGTATCGGTATCGGCCCCAAAAAATCCTATCGGTGCATCCCTAATTATTACCTATCAAAAGTTTGAGATCAGTAAGTGGTAGTGGTGTTGTTTTAATAGTTATATTCAGCAAGGATCAAAAGTGAAAAAGACGTATATATTTTTATATAAAACATTTAAAAATAAATGTTCTTTTGAACTTTTTGTCAAAGCATCCTGAAAAAAATCAGTTTCTTCAAAAATTAAGCAGCACAACGGTTTAAAACATTGATAATAATAAGACGTGTTTGCGAATCAGCATATTAGGATTTCTGAAGACTGGAGTAATGGCTACTGAAAATTCAGATTTGCCATAACAGGATTGACATTTTACAATATTAAAATAGAGAAAAGTCACTTGAAATTGTAATCATTTTTCACAATGTTAGTGTTTTTACTGTGTATATATAAAATAAATGCAGCCTTGGTGGGCATAGAAGTTAAAAAAACATTTTTTTTAAATGGTACCCCATTTTTTTGTGTTTTTAGGCTGTTTGGACGTTAATTCATCCGTTAAAGGGGCTCGCTTTGTTCGTTTCTGTGACGCCTTCAACATTCCCATCATCACATTTGTGGATGTGCCTGGATTCCTGCCAGGTGTCTAGAAACTTTCATTATACTATCCTTAACTTTGCTGTGTTTTCTAATTCATTTTATCCCGAATTACCAACATGTGTTTCCCTTTTTAAATAAGACACTGACAGAACGTTCTGTTTCCACAGGCACAGCTCAAGAGTACGGAGGCATCATCAGACACGGAGCCAAACTGCTCTATGCTTTTGCAGAGGCCACCGTTCCAAAAATCACTGTCATCACTAGGAAGGTAGGAGGCAGAATGATGTGTGTGTGGGGATGGTTCTGTCTTGTGTGCTGAATAATGCATGTTCTGTCTCCAGGCTTATGGAGGTGCGTATGATGTGATGAGTTCCAAACATCTGAGAGGAGACGTCAACTATGCCTGGCCGTCTGCTGAGGTCGCTGTGATGGGTGCAAAGGTAAACCTGAAGACTTTTGTGCTGAAACCGGGGACATGGCTAATGCACTTGCATAATAAATGTGTAGTGTGCGTGAATTCTGGGGCTTTCTAAGGCATTTATGAGCTTTAAGCCAAACCCCCATTGAGCTGCATTTAAATCTCAGGATATTTTTTGGCCTAAATAAATATAAATATCAAAATTGGTCCCATCCAATATAAACAGATGTGTTGCAGCAGTCCCTAATAAAAGAGTTTAGAAATTCTTGTAACCACAAGACTGTAAGTAGCAGACAGGAGTGAGTGTTCAGAGAGCTCCTGCACACTAGCTTCAGTCCAGTGCTGCTGATATACACTTACACTGCAGCGATGATCACTATGCTTGGCTCTCTTTGGTGATTGTGCTACTGTCCCTTCTACTCGTTTCATTTCTACGCTGGAGGCTCACGCTTTGAGTTGAAGAACAGGTGCTGCTGACTGAGAGTGTGGATAGCACAGATCATATCACATGTTGACTGTTTAAAGTACAAACTATAAATATTTCTGCTGGGTGTCCATTAGTGACACTAAAGCAACAATGATGCACACTGATTTTCCAATGTTTTTGAAAGAAGCATCCTATGCTCACCAAGGCTCCATTTATTTGATAAAAAAATAAAATAAAATTGTGAAATACTGATAAAATGTAATTCATTTGAATTACATTACTGTTTAACAATGAACTGTACATTACTGTTTTCTATTTTAATATTTTTAACAATATATTCTTGTGATGGCAAAGCTGAATTTTCAGCATCATTACTCCAGTCCAGAGTCACATGATCTTTCAGAAATCATTCTAATATGATTATTTGGTGCTCAAGAAACATAATCCATGTTGAAAATATTTGTGCTGCTTAATTTTGTGGACACCTGGATTTTTTCCCCAGGTTTCTTTGAAAGAACATTTGAAATACATCCTTTGTAACAAAACCTAGAAATTTTATCTTTTTTTATTTTTTAAATCTTTCTACAGGTAAAGTAGTGCATCACAGTTTCCACAAAAATATTAAGCATCAAAAGCTGTTTTTAACATTCATTGTTAATAATCAGAAATGTGTCTTGAACACCAAATATACCATATTACAAGGATTTCTGAAGGATCATGTGACACTGAAGACTGGAGTAATGATGCTGAAAATTCAGCTTTGATATCAAAGGAATAAATTACAATATTTCAAAATATTACTGTTTTTAATCCTATTTTGTAGCCTTGGTGAGAGGCTCTTTTCAAAAACAACTCTAAACCTTTGAACACAATATATATAATATTCTTCAACATTTTGATTAATCTATGGTTAATAACTACATTTTGTCAAGGATATTACAAGTACAATTTTATATGCATTTCTTTGGCTTTTTTCGTGAATGAATGTTTTTTTTTTATTTTTTAAATCCAGTGATCACAACAACTGGACAAATCATGGTAATTGATTGGTCAAAAAGTGTGGCACCCTACAAAATATTTTTTAAATGTGCTACATAGTAATCTATAATTTCATTTTTAAAGGGTGCTGTTCAAATCATCTTCAGAGGAAAGGAGAATCAAGCCGAGGCTGAAGCTGAATATGTGGAGAAGTTTGCCAATCCCTTCCCCGCTGCTGTCAGAGGTGCATCACCAGACACGAAACGCATTCATCTTCACAGCTCTTGCTCAACATGTTTACCCCACACTGCAGTACAAGTGCGCTCGCTTCTGCTGCTATTTGTGTATTATTGCTAAATAATGATGAATGTATTTCACAGGCTTTGTGGATGACATCATTCAGCCCTCGACCACACGCAAGAGGCTCTGTAGAGACCTGGAGGTGCTCGCCAGCAAGAAACAGACCAACCCCTGGAAAAAACATGCAAACATTCCCTTGTAAATCTCTTCTCAGCACTTTACAGCAACATCTGTGGTTAGATTGGAAAGAATATCATGTTTTTCCACATGGTTCGTTGTGCCTTATTTCCACTCATATGCATTATGCCATTATTTAAACAAGTCTCAAGTCAATAAACACTCCCACGGTTCATGATTACATATTTAATTTTTTTTTTCTGAAAAAGTGAGTTTTCCATAAGTTCACTGAAGAAAAGTTTTAGAACAGTTTTCCATTAAAAGGGAAAGTGGTACATCATTTCTAGGTTGTACAAAAGAAAACCATTTTATATTGGAAATGTGCAATTTACAGGTACACTAGCAAAACTAACCGGGGCTCAGGGTGGGGGGAATAATGATGATCATGGGAAACTCGTGTTGTTGACAGTATAACATTTCACTTCTTGATAGCACAGGACCATAAAGCACTTATACGGAGGCAGTACTTGAATGAGCCCTACTCAACACATGGCACAGCAGCCTCTGCTGTTTGACCCAGACAAGATCAACTGATGGAAACCCTGCCGTATAGACGCTTCACACAAATAAACCTCACCTCATTAAAACTAAATCTACTGGAAAGAAAATACTGACCATTCAAATGCTTCTGCAAGCCAAAATACACAACATGTAGTGTAATGCCCCTTCAGGACAACTGTCACAGAGATTTTTGGCTTTCTGACAATATTAACAGCATTTTTAACACTGACCAAATGTTTCTAACCTTGCTTTGTCATTTACCATAATTATGACTACTGAGTGTTGTTTTATATGTAAAATTAGACCGACTGAAGTTTGACCAACATGTCCAACTGCTTGTTTTGGTAGGAAGAATCCGTTCGTTGACCTGATAGTAAAAACGACTTCATAATCTAACTGTACAGGGCATATACATAGTAGGATGGATAAACACAAATATGTACATCTTGAACATATAGGACCGTATATTCTTACGTGATAAATTTGTACCACAATATAAATCCCATCCAGTGCGATTCAAATGAGCTGACAAAGAACTTGTTTAACAGAAAAAAAAAACACCATACGTGACATGATTGGACTGCATCTGTTAAAATAATCTCCGGATGAATAAAAGCTCCTCTGATGTGGCATTTGATAAAAGAGGACGGTTGAGGGTTTGCTCCAGAATCACTGAACCTGGACACCAGTGCTTCCACTCTTATATGAATGTCTCTTCAGCCCTTTAATCACTTCAAATACTCCTTTTCCATCTGTTGTGGCACCTCAGAACATGGGCATAGTGAAACCCTGGGGGAAAAAATGACAGGTGATTATTTGTTGATAATTAGGGCGAGATATCTAATTGTGATTTGTCTGATTAAAATCGCAATTTAAGAAATTGCAATTTTTTCAAAGCTCCAGGTCTGATGTGCTTGTTTGTAGCGCTGCACAATTTGGCTTTTTTTTTTTTTGTGATATATATTAATATGACTACACAATAATAGTAATGATAATAATTATTATTATTATTACTAAATAAAACTATTAAAATAAATATTACTGTAAAAATTATAATATACTTAATAAAAAGCGATATAATAATAGTATAGCACAGCTGTAAAACTGAAATCCAAATTTATGGTTGTGCTAATTTCTTGGCTTTTAAATGTTAAACCACAAAGCTTTTATTCGGCAGAAAAGTTAGGAGACCTTAATGCTTTGCTTTTGTCGACAACAGAGTTACAAACAAAAGCCAAACTCATGGTGCTTGAAGTGGAGCAGCATTTACTGCAAACCAAAACACTGGATCATGAGCTCGTCTGTCAAAGAACATCGTGCCGCGATTCACTCTAAATATGCATTGCTTATATTTATTGAAATTGCAGCCTTTGCGGTCTGATAATCACACAAGTCATATCATGATTTTGCATTTATTTAGAATAATCATGCAGGCCTACTGATTTCACAACCCTGCATCTTGGAAAAAAATAGCTGGTTTGCAAAAAAGGGCTAATATTAGCCAATTTGATAATGCGGAGTTAAAAATATCAATAAAAATTTTAATCACGTACAGTTTTTCACACAAATATTCAAACTATATGTATTAGCTTTAATGCATTTATCATCAAAATAACAAAAGAAGTCAACTTTCAGAAGTTTTAATGACAAAAAGAAGTTCTCAAACGTATAATTTAACTTACAACCTGCAAGGGAGTGAAAAATGCGTTAATGTGAAGTTCTTTGACATTAAATGGAGTATTTGAACAAGTTTATAAATTATTTGGATGTAGTAAAACACCCACATACGTAGCTGGGTCATGTCTGCTTTTCCTTCTGTCACTTACCATAATTCTAATCTTAAATTCAGGATTAGGCCTAAAATAATGTCTTCAAAATCATTCATTTACATGTGAAAATCAGCTGAGAATTGAACAAAGCTATAAACTGGAAGCTTTCAGACAGTTTTTCTGGCGATTAAGGGATAATGCAAGATGTTCTCACCTTACAAACAGATATCGAAGGCAAAATGCTACAAAAAGCACATATTTTATGGGAAAGTGTGATGTGCTAGAGCAGAACGACCACTATTTTTGGACTCAGCACCCCAAAATTAATAAGAAGCAAGTATTGGATTTCATTCATCAAATTTGATGCAGGGCAGTGTTATTATATATTTATACAATGAGTAAAGCCTTACCGACTCATCCTCAATCATGGCTGCAGAGTCAAAGAAGTCCGGTCTCAGCTCTGCTCTCTCCCGCCTGTTCCTGGATGGAGGCTGCAGAGGATATAAGATAATATGATTTGGAATTTCTTTCTATATTTAATTACGTAAGTACTCTGAGATGCTTTTATTTGCTAGTATCATCTGATTACCAGATCAATGACCATGGTGTCCTCAAATTCCTCACTCATGTCTTCCAGCTGACCTCGCGACGACATCATGACATCCTCAAAGATGGGCTCTGCGTCGTCCTCCATGAGACCACGTCTAGATTAGAGACATCAAAGTAACATTAGGGTGACCATACGTGCCATTTTCCCAGGACGTGTCCTGGCCAGGATTTGTTTTGGCTTTGTTTTCCTGTTTTCATGCTTGCTGAAGGTAATGATCGAAAAGTAGTTTGACCAACATGCAAGCATTGTACATAATGGACCAATCATGGCGTGTGAGAAGGTGGGATCTACGGTCAAAGCGATGCAATTACGCGTACATATTAGGTGTGTTCGACTTAAAAGCAGTGTGGCTCAGACCGATCAGTGTTTGACATCAAAGTACCTCGAGAGCGTTTCGAAAGCATAACCGTCTGTATGGTATTTTGATGTCATACACCGATCGGTCTGCACACGCAAACAAAGCCAAAACCTAGATATTTTAGGCAATATAGAAATCCTGGCCAGGACACGTCCTCGGAAAATGGCACGTATGGTCACCCTAAGTAACATTAACTACAGCACGTTCCTCGCGTGAAACATCCCACATTTCTTTCTCCACATACACAGTCTGTCGTACTCCTCCGCTACGGGCCTTCATGTAGTTCATGGCTGTGCGTTCTTTCCTGTTCACCTCCTCCATCTTCTGCTGGCCAAGCCAGGACATCTGCAGCTGAGGACTGACCGAGAGGAAAACCACTCAATACTACACACATAATAGTCTTCATAACACAACCAGTATTGTTCCTGTAAACTAAAACCAAAACTATTAAAGATTTCGTTAATTAAAATAAATCTGAAATAAAAGAAAACAAACAATAGATGAAAAACTTCATCTTAATGTCACTTCAGATGTAGTCTCGCGTAGCCAGACCTTCAGACTGACGGCTGAAGGTCTGGAATGCATGGCAGCTTTCATTGGCCAAGGCCAAGTCTCTTTTGGCGTACTGTTTTCGGCATACTATATAGTAGGGAAGTGGGCATATATGGACACAACAATTAAATACAACATTATATACACTGCATATCCAAAATGGAGGAGTAAGTTGTGCTCATGGTTTTGAAAAGAAATGGACATGTTGTTTAATCATTCACAAACTTTTGGCTATCTAGTGTATTTTAAGATTGAGCACTTACTTATGAACATAGTCAGATTCAGAGCCGGGCTCAGAGAGGTGCTCAGCAGCTTGCCGAGGGTTTTCTCGGAGCACGGTGGAGGTGAGCTGGGGTGTCTGCAGGGCTCCGGGGGTCTGTAGGGTGTCGTTCCTCATCATCCAAGAGCCCTCCACACTCTCCTCTGCAGAACCACGACACCACACACAAAACAGCCCATGACTGCTTACTTTTAGGCATCTCGATCAACTGAACCAACCCACAGGCTTCCCGTCTCATATCAGTATGATTACATCTACAGGCATCCTCACCCTCGATGCGTTTCTTGTGCAGTGGTGGACGGCCCTTTTTGCTCCGTATGGATCCAGCTTTGCTGCTGCTGCTGCTGCTGGTGATGGACATGCGATCTTCATCTCCACCTGTCAGCAGAGAGTTCCTGTAGGAGATGAGCGGCAGCCAGATGTCTTCCCGCCTCTCCATCATTTGCTCAGTCATGAACTTCTCCAGATACGAGTGCCTGAGAGAGCCAAAGGGAGAACACAAAGATATGAACATATTATTTTTATTTAATAATATAATTCTATTCATATAATTCTTAAAGATGCAATTATATATATAATATTTTTTCCTCGTTATTTATATACATTTTTATACATTACAATGCAATCAAAGTGCTCCTCAGACTAACTTACACTGTTTTCTTGTCTTGGCGAAGAAGCTTTGAGGAAAATTCACAGAGAACCTCCAGGAAGGCCAGATTTGCAGGGGGATACTCTGGTCCTTTAGGATTCTGATACTTGAAGGCGAACTCAATGCCATCTCTGAATACAACAAAATTATTTGAGATGGGTAGAATGAAGAAGAGGTCCATTTGGTGCTTGATAAATATAATCCAAATATTAAAGGGTAGTTACTTGTGCAGTGTGGCCACAGCCTCTCTGGTCTTGATCTGGTCCAAGCCAAAGGTGAGGGCAAAGCGACGGGCCAATTCCTTTATGCCACTCACATGAGATGAGGTCCTGTCCAAGTTAGGCCCCTGATCCTGGATCAGCTCATTAAAGAGCTGAAGAACAGAAAAAATAACAGTATTAGTAGAATGATCAAGATCTGAAATGATAATGCAGGTATCATGTGAATCTTATGCTAGAATATCCCTCAAAATGAAGGCTGTCATCTCACCTGCTGTAAGCTCAGGATGAGCGTCTTGGCACACAGTATCTTGTCCGTCTGTCTGGTCTTACTTAGAGTCTCCTTGATGATGTCTCCATAATCGTTGTAGTACTACACACGGTTTACAACAAGTTTGATAAACATGTAAGAACTACCCGAGAACGTGTTGTAGATAGCAGTACAGTATACAATGTACGTATGTCCACTGGCACTGAGTGAGCGAGATGATGTTTGGGTGAGGGATTGTGGGATTGACATGGAGCAGAACAAGCAGTGAGAGCATAAAAAGGCTAAGAAATTTTCAACTTTATGCAAATGAGAGTTAAACTAATCAGTGGCAACTAATCATTATGAGGTTATAGTTATGAGGCATTGACGTTTGCCAGAAGCATTTAATAACGCCAGAGCTTCTGGTAATTTAAGTGCTTGAATCACATTGACTGATTTCAAATGCAGTTTAGACAACAGATCTCTGATCTGATTAGTTTCTTTCATGACAGTGGGCATGTCAGGTAAGGTGATAATTGCTTATCTTACCTTCATGTAGTGTTTGAAGATGTCTGCAGCGGCTGGCATGTCTACTATATCATAAATGATAAGCTTGCTGAAGGCAGCTAGGAGGTTTCTCCTCTTGTGTAAGGCCTCAATCTTGTTAGCTTCATCCTCCTCATCACCCTCTGGTAATGAACATGAAAACACTTTAATTACACTTCAAAACAGTATTTACGGGGTTTTTTTTTTTTTCAAATGTACAATGTCATTAATATTGTCTCTAGGCTCACCCATGCTCTGATTCTCGTCATCCTGGTCTATAAACACATGGTCTAGGATGAAGTTGAGCAGCTCGTTCTGTAGGGTGC